ACTTTGGTTTAAACTTTAAAGCATCTCTAGTTATTTATGTGCCCAAATATATTACTAGATGTGTGATGTACATGGTTCCACCAGTGACTAGACTTTTCTTATGTTTATCTTGACAAAATTGTAGTGCAGGAAGATTCCTACTATCTTCTGATGTCATAGCCATACCTAGGGATGCCAGAGTAAATAGACCTATCAAGAAATCATCAAACTTTTGTCAATGGAGGAAAAATCAATTTAGTATGCAACATTTTTCTCTGTCCTGTGAAAAGATTCCTCTCACCCCTTCTCTATCCACCATCCCCTAGGGATAGTAGGTAGTCTCTTTTGTCTTAGCTTGAGTTTGGTTGATTTAAGACTTTCATACCAGCAACTCTAGCTGTTGAAATTTCCATCACTAGGGAATTCATTCGTATAGTGCTATTTGTTTGTCATGTCATAGATTAGCTTTTATAAAAAAGAAGATTTTGTTTTCTACAATGAGTTAACCACCTAGGTTAACATGCCTCCACTTTGCATCAAAGAAGTTATATTTCATATCTTGAACATACTGTCAGCAGATATAAAAATATAAAAATATCTAAATAAATATATATTTATTTAAATATATTTAAATTTATATTATATTTAAATTATATTAAAATATATTAAATTATATATTAAATTCATATATTTAATATATTAAATTTATATAATATATAATTATATATTAAATTATATTTAAATAAAACATATATTTATATTTAAATATAAAAATATTTAAAGATATAAAAGTAGTTAGTGGAGAGTGGCTCAGGTGGGAATGGTGTTCTTATTTCCTACTTGTTATGTTGTCCAATTGGTCCAAGTTAGAATCTAGTCTGCAAAAATATAACAGGGCTTTTGTTGAATAGATCTTATGTTGTTTTCTTATCTCAATCTCTCCAAATGGCAACTGGGAAGCCCCTAAGACAATTAGAATTTTGGGGAAACCAGTGGCTAAGGAATTATTTTTTAAAATGAATAGTTCTCTGAGATAATCATTTCCATTCATTCATCAATTTAACAAATATTTGTTGAGCTGCTATTACATGTCAAGCACAGGATGCAGGAGTGAACAAAATGGGCCAGGCCCCTGCCCTCCTGAAGCTTGCACTCTAGTGACTTCTTGGAACAACTCATAGAATTGAAATGGCCACCCAGGTACTTATGATGACAAGGACAATGACTAACAAGCTCTTCCAGAAAGACTTCCGTGATCCTCCATGATCCTCCAAGCTAAGCGAGTGCCTTCCCTCTGTGCTCCCAGGACACCCTGAGACTTGGGGCAGCTGTTATTCCAACAAGTTGCATTTGTATCCCAACTCTGGGCTTAATAACAGTAATGAATCCTTACTGAGTACCTACTTTTGCCAGGCACTCTGCTAAGTGTTTGACATAAATCAATTATTTAATACTCCCACCAACCCTAGAAGGTAGACCCCATTAATATTTTTTTTTTGTCCTTTTTGAGACTGGCCACATGGCGCTCAGCCAGTGAGCACTGTGAGCACACCGGTCATCCCTATATAGGATCCGAACCTGCGGCGGGAGCGCTGCTGTGCTCCCAGCGCCGCACTCTCCCAAGTGCGCCACGGGCTCGGCCCAAGACCCCATTAATATTACTCTTTTACTAATAAGAAAACTAAAGCCCAGTGAGGTTAAGCAACCTGTTCAATGTCGGTCATGGGGTAGCAAGTGGAAGAATCCAGAAAGTCTTCCAGAAACATAGTAAAGACCCAATAAATATGAGCCCCTTCAGAGACTAGGGTGAGGCAAGTGAGACGAGTCGTGAAGGTGCAGGGTCAGATCTTGTCTTTATTTAGAATTCTGTTGTTTTGTTCATCATGGATTTTTTGGATTTATTTTGATTTTTTTAAATATTGTATGAAATTATTATTTATCTTCATTACTGAGTTTTTTGTCATTCATTTAAATTGTGTGCCCAAGATGAGTGTTTCTCTCACCTCATTCTGCACCCATTATCATTGTTATCGTTACTAAAACATTTAAAGGGAGTATTACCTATTTTTTGTTTGTTTCCCCAGCTAAACTCAGAGACATTTAAAGCCAGCAACCATCTTTATGTCCTAATAAAGTCTAATAAAGACTTGGCACAGAGTGTATGTTCAATAAATATTTGTCAAACACAACTTTCTGTTCCACATAATTCAAAAGAAGATTAATTTCTATTCAGTGAGAGAGAACTGGTTATGTATTGGAGCTTTATCCTCATTGTATCAGTGTTAAGAGGGTAGAAAATCCTACTCTGGTATTTGAAAGGGTGACCGGCCTTTAAGAGGTGATCAGATCATGAGGTCTCTACCCTTGTGAATGGGATAATCTATTCATGGACTAATGGGTTAATGGTTTAATGGGCTATTGAGGAGTAGACAGGGGGTTTTATAAGAAGAGCAAGTGGGCACATTAAAGTGCTCTTGCTCAGTCCTCGCCCTGTGATTGCCTTTGTCACCATGGGACCCTGTAGAGAGTTCTCACCAAGAAGAAGGTTCTCAACAGATGCACCCCTTGACCTTGGACTTCCCAGACTCCAAAACCATGAGAAATAAATTTTGTTTCTTTATAAATTACCCAATTTCAGGTATTCTGTTATAAGCAACAGAAAATGGACTAATACACTATATCTACCAGGTATTAAGTATTTATCAGTACCAAACATTTAGTACACTTCATCTCAAATTCTTACTGCAAAGCTGGAAACGGAGGCTCAGCCACATGGAGTCACTTGCCCAAGATCACACAGCTAATAAGTGACAATCAGCATTAAGCCCAGGTCTGTGTGAATACAAACCCAGACTCTTTCCATGACCCCCTTTCTATTTCAGTTCCCAGTTAGTGGTGGTGATGTGAAAAAGGCATGACCACAGTCATGAAAAAGGGAGTGGGCCAAATGAAGAAGATGGTAAAGTTATACAAAGAAAAGATATGCACACACCTGGCCACCGAAAGGGGAAGGGGCTGCTGTGCGGGGCCATCTCTGCTGATTGCTATAAGTTTGTCTTGGAGACTGTCCCATTCTGTAATGTGGCCTTGACCTGTATCAACTTAAAGGGATAGATCCAGGACCTGTCTTTGTGTCTTAAATAAGGATGTGAACTACACATTCGTCTTCCTGACCTGCCCCCTTTCAGGTAAATTGAGTAATCAGTCTGACCGATGACAAGAAATCCATACAGCTAGTCAGCTAGTGCTGGGTACCCCAGGCCAGCCACAGGAGAGCTGGTTGTTCTCAGCATCATGTCCTTTGCTTCCCAAACTATGACGGGTCAGTACTAGGTTTCTAAGATCCTGCTCCGATTTGCACCATAAATAATATGACGTGGTGGTATTTTCCAAAGTATATTCCTTAAAACATCAGTAGCATAAGGAATTCTGTGGTTAAATAAGATTAAACAGTCTACCTCCATATTTCTCAGAGCCTTCCGAAGGCTAATGTGGGTGGTGTCTTCAAGAGAAGTATATTGCAGGCAGCATTTCTCTAACCTACTTAGCCAGGGAATTCCTCTACATGGAGCACCTCTTAGGATTAGCATTCAGTGGGATGTGCTTTGGGAAATGGTATGTCAGGATCTTTTAAATATTCTCTTATTAGAAATTGCCAAAAGGGTGAAAACTTGGGAAATGATTCTTAAATCAAAATGGTAATGTCCCCTTTTTTTCCTTTCTCACTATGAAAATGAAAAGTCATACCTAGATGAAAGAAAAGTTTTGAAAATAGGAATAAATCACACTACATTCATACTTTAAAATATTCCTTTCTCAGAAAAGACCACAACAATATGTTGAACTTTCAGAAGGAGAGAACAAACCTAAGGATACTAGAGATGGAGGGGAGGGAGGGAGGGGGTTTGGGAAGTGACAGGTCAGGTAAAGGGCATAAAGAAATGTCATGATTTGTAAGAATGAATATACTAATAATAAATTTTAAAATTTAATTAAAAAAAATTCCTTTCCCCAAATGTATACATCTCCAAATGTGTATCTATGGACATGTGTGTATATATCAAGCACTTAAAATGTTCAGACACTGTGCTAAATGTTTTGCTTATGTCATCTCATTTAACTCACAGTAACTCTGTGAGTTAGCAAATATAATCCCCCTGTTAGAGATTAGGAAATTAAGGCTCCAAAGGTTTAAGTAGCTTTTCAATGTTGCAGAGCAAGTAGGTGACTGAGCTAATGTTTAAATACAGTTACTTTTGGGCCGGCCCGGTGGCGCACTGCTACAGTGCGCCGCTTGGGAAGCGCGGTGGCACTCCCGCCGAGGGTTCGGATCCCACATACAGACCGGCCGCTCACTGGCTGAGCGAGGGGCGGGAGCAACACCGAGGGTTACGATCCCGTGGCTGGTCCCGGTCCGGTACGGGCGCGACACTGAGGGTTGCGATCCGTTGCCGGTCACGAAAAAAGACAAAAAGGAAAAAATAAATAAATAAATACAGTTACTTTCTTAACTCCATAGCCTATGCATTTAAGCACTGAATTGGTGAAATAGTTATTTTCTAGCCTGGAAAGAAATATTTATTTTGAATTTACTACAAGAGACTTTATTTTATCTTGGATCATCGTGCAGCTCAATTCCATGTAGAATGATAAAAGAACATTCCGGAATTGTTTCTGCTTTTTATTTGTCCTTGCCTCCCTTCTCTGACTTTCAGTAAGTGTTACAAGGGCTTCACAGCACATAATCCTAAATGCAGTACTGCACTGTGCTCTGTTTTATGGCTCTATAATCTCCTCTGTTGTAAATACATTCAGAAATGATTGTGGCTTTTTTCTTGAAGCCTCAAAATTTTTTTAAAAAGTGATTTATTTTGATAGCACATTAGCTTCATGATTTCAAATATTAAGTTACTTGGTTCAGGTGGTCTTATATTTTCCCCATAAATGTGTTTATGTCACCCCACAGACTGAGAAATTTCATTCCAGGTTTTTTTTTCTTTCTTCATTTGATTTTCCTGCAGGAGGAGAACTGAATTCTTTGAACTTGTCAGTAAAGGAGAATATGATTGGAATATCAAAAACCATCGTGATACATTTCGGTAAGAAAAAGCTCTTGTTTATGTGTTTCTTTATTATTTGAACATTTAGCCGTGCTTTTCTGACAGTGCTAAGAGCATATAAGTGATTTTTAAGGTAACAAACCTTAGCTGACATTCAGAACATTCAGAGATTAGTTGAATAACTAGAGAAAAGATAGAAAAATGTATCTTTTTGTCTTATAATTTTTTATATTTTTGCCTCTTCTCCATAAATCTACCTGCAAAATTAGAAAATGATGTTCAAATTAGTTCAGTTTCAGCAAGCCACGATTTCTTCTTTTTGCTGGGTGGGTGGGGTGGGAAAAGTTGAGAGGTTTTAGAACTTTAGAAAGGAGAGTTACACAGCACTAAGGAGAGAGTTAAATTTTGCTTTTCTTTAGAGACCATAGACATCGTGGATAGAAAACCAATTGGAACAATTTTGGTGATGAAGATGAGAAGTCTGTTCTAGACTTTGCACAGGACTTCTTCCCAGGTGCCTAGAAAAGACAGCAGCAAGCACTGTTTTTATGTGGCACATTTAACCATCCTAGTGCAGCCACTCCAGGTGGTTAGGCACCGTTCCTCTCTCATACTCCATCCTTCCACCATCTCCAGCTCACCCAGGCCTTCTGCTGTCACTTGCTCCTGTCGTAACACTGCTAAATTTTACTGGGAAAGCTTGTGAGGCTAGAGTTAGGGTGCACGGTGTCTGCTCCACAACCAGGTGACTGCTGGAATTACCCTGCTGTAGTCCCCATGTCAGCCACATACAGCCTCTGCCACCAGCTGCAGAACATGGGGCTCTCCTCGGCAGCTGACCTGACGCCCTGTCACCAGAGGCCCTCTGTATCTTTCCTCTCTACTTTAATATTTCTCTGTGTTATCTTTACAGACCTTTTTCTTTGTCTTTTCCAGAGAGAGAGACAGAGACAGAGAGACAGAGAGAGCGCCTTCCTCTCTTCCAGGCTAGCGCCTCCTCTTGTGTCCTAATTCCATTAATCCCTCCACCTTCTCCATCTCCCACCCCTACCCATGCTGTGTCAATTATGACCCTTTGGCTTCCATTTTCAACATCTGTTTTTTTCCATCATGACCTTTCTAGACCTAAGAACATGCTTCCACCTTCCCAATCAAAAACATCGTTCCTAAAAGCTGCCTTTTCTCACAGTCCCATCATAGTTTTCTCCTTCCCTTCACTCCCACACTTCACTCACACCTCCTAACTTCCTGCGAGTTAATCTTCTTTTCATGTAGTTTTTTTTTTTTTTTCCTTTTTGTCTTTTATTTTATTTTTTTTTTTACTGACCAGTAACGGGATCACACCCCTCGGTGTCACGCCCGTACCGGGGACCGGCAACGGGATTGCAACCCTCGGTGTTGCGCCCACACCGCGCTCAGCCAGTGAGCGGGAACCAGTCTCCACATGGGATCCGAACCCTCGTCGGGAGCGCCGCCGCGCTCCCAAGTGGCGCACTCTCCAGTGCACCACCGGGCCGGCCCTTTTCATGTAGTTTTTAATTCCATGAGTAATTATATGGATATGTTTTTCTGTAACAAAACATTACAGATAAACTCCCAAATCTCCTTTGAGCTTCACCCCCAATTTCCATACTAGTTGCACAGCTGTTCTCTGTTATCTATTTGTTGTGTCTTTCCAGACCATGCCCAAAGCCTTTACATGTATGTGTTCCCTTAGGAAAAATACTCGGTAGTGTGGATCTTGATTGATTTAACATAAATTATATATTTACATACCAATGTAAACTTGCTTTTCCACTCAACTATAGGCCTTAGAATTCTTTCGGTGTCCATACCTCATCATCTTTTATTATTGCATGGTAGTACAAAATATGGATATACCATGTAGGATTTAGCAGTCCTCAACTGAGGAATTAAGTCTGTGAAGTGTGATTTCTGCTCCTTTTGAAAGTCACGGTCACCTCTCTAGTATCAAATGGCCTTTGTGCTCTCCAGCTTTCTTGATCTCTTTATAGCCCCTAATTGAATTGGCCTTTGCTTTCTTAAATCTCTCTCCAGCCTTGGATTCTGCAAAGCCATGCTCTTCTGGATTTTCTACTTTTTAACAAATATTTTTGCAGCTGGCCCATACAGGGATCTCAACCTTGGTGCTACAACACTGCTCTCTAACCAACTGAGCTAAATGGCCAGCCCAAGGGTTTTCTACTTTCTTTCTGACTCTTCCTTTTCTCTTTGACCCTTCTTCCTCCCTACTTCTCCCTAAATGTAACTGTTTCCCAAGGACCTACTTTTAATTCTCTTCTCCTGCTCCTCAGCACCCTCATGCTTTCAAACTACCATCTCATCTCAAATGACTCCCAACCTGTCTCTTGGGCACAACCTCTTTTCTGAGCACCACTCCTAAAACACCAGTGCTCATTCAGCACCTCTACCTGGCTGGTTTCTTGCAGAGGTTTTCAAACTTTCTTGGCAGGGAAGCCTATAAGGAAGAAATATCTTATTTGGAAAGACAGTATGTAAAACAGAGGGGCTCCAGGAGCTCTCCCACCCCACTTTTGCCCTCCCTCCCCCATTTCCTGCTTAGACTCTGACCTCAGTACACCAAGAGTAGGTCTCTACCTGTAGAGAATTCAAAAATAGTAATAAAACCAACTAAAAGTTGGTCTGCTTTTTATCATCACCATGTGCCAGCAATTCTTTTCTTTTTTTTTTTTTTCCTTTTTGTCTTTTTTTACTGACCAGTGACAGGATCGCAACCCTCGGTGTTGCACCCGCACCACGCTCAGCCAGTGAGCGGGAACCGGT